AGTGTGTTCGCAATATTTAAAATTGGTAATATTTTGGAATATTTTACAGGAAGCGCAAACATGGCTAGTTATTTTTAGCCTGCAGCGCGTAGCTGCATTTATTTATCGAAATTATATTCAAATTAAGTGTGAACTCGCTATCCAATTTAAGCGAGTGTTGTAGCTATAACTATTGACTGTCCAAAATACATGTATTGTGTTAAGGTTTTCTTGCTCCTTTATAGTACAATTGTCGTTAATTCTAATGCAACCTAAGGTTGCTTGCTCTTTGATAGCAGAAATCAGAAGATTATTGAGTTTCCGATTCCTAATGACAGACCATTTTTTAAACGTAATCTTATTTTATGTTACACGGACAATGGTTGTCATCTTCCTAACAACACAAATATGTGTTATTAAAAGCCATCCGTTAAACAACTTAAAGTACGGTTTAAAGCTACAAAAGTGGATAATTTTCGTACCTATATGTCCCGAAGGAATTAATATTAAAGTAATAATTGTTGTCGTTCTTCAAAGAACGAACGAGCTACCGGAGCGGGGCCCGGAGGGGCTGGTGTTTCAAGGGATATTTACGAATTGAAAAGGTGATCGTTCGGTTTAATAAAGAAAAGTCATACCTTATTTCATATTTAAGCTTACAATAACGTTTTAGTATTACCTCCACGATATGTATGCAACCCTTGAAACACACTTAGTTAACTAAGTTAACTTAGGCACATTTTGTCATTTCCACGGAATGTCATATTCATATCATCGTGTGTTTTGATATGTTTCTCTTCGTAAGTTAATTCAAATTCAAGTTTTTTAACGTAACTATTTATCCATTAATGGTTTCACAACCTGCTTAGGAAAATTTAATGAGGAAAGTTGCCCTATTACTTGAAGTACTCAAAACGTCGTATAGGTGGCGAACGAATACTATACAACAGAGCTATGAAGTTCTATACATAGTAAATAACCGAAGTAAACCAAACATAATGGTCGATTGACCATTAGATGTAGACGTTAGGCATAAGTAAAGTCTGACAAATTTAGATGCCACAGAACCCAATCTACACAAACTTTTAGCTTTGCTATGCAGATTGCAATGATGTTGGCAAAAAGACGTCCTGTTCATGCCCAAAATGAAGGCAATTACTTGTTTTGTTCAGCTGTGATAAGGACTACTTTTGCTGGCCTCATTTACATAGAGCATTGTGCATCTCAGTCTGTGATGGTCCGCGACAGCAGACGTAGACAGGCCATTTGATTCTCCAGTCATGGATACCAAATAATTAAAATAAAAGTACCATTTTCATGTCTTCGGTAACTGTGTTGTGCCCGGTTTCGAGGTAACCGGATCGTCAACGCCTCTCCAGGTGGAGGGCAACGTTGTGCACCTAATGAAGTGCACCTTAGATGTCGCGATATTTTCGCAGTGAGTGCGGACTGCCAGGCTTGATATGAAATTGGTTTACTTAACTCGAAAAATGGTTCTCAAGCAGCGGTTGTCAAAGATCACCAGTTAGCGCTCCTTTTCCCCACGCGTAGCCTAGAATTTACAGAAATCGATAAGGACTAACAGATAAATGCATGATGCACGCAGATGTCGGTGTTAATGAGATATTGAAGCGGACAAATATACACTTATTACTTCTCGATAAAACGCGGTGAAAAGCATTGATTCGCGAGACGGTGTCGTCCTTACCCTCCCCATTTGGCATTTGCAGAATCAAATGTGACGACAAAGTCAGCAGTGCAAACAGCCGTCAGTTTTTGACAGTCATTGTGGAATAACAGAATGTACCCCTGTATGAATATCCAGTCTGAACATCTAAGTTCAACTCGGAATCAGGCTGGCTTGCAGTCCGTCTTATAGTCCTGCGTAGTCTCGGATCGCAAAGAAAGTTGTAGCAACGTAAACGAAATTAGACTAAAGCCGTTATCACAACTTGTCCTATGTTTGACCTTGTGCCCAGGTACAGGGATACCAAGCCTTATTCATCAGGAAGGATTTAATCTCTCCATGCCTGCCTTATCACCTAATGGAGCCAGGGGACCAGAGTGTCCCCACAAGACTTTTAGATTTCAAGAGCCAAACTGTCCTCTCCAAGTGTCTTGTTATTGTGCTCTCTTTATTGTCGGAGAATTCTCCCTCGGGACGTTGGGGATGGAGAAAGTTAGCGGTAGGGGAGCGCGAATCTTTGATGCATTCAGTGCCGAAATTGCGAATGTGCTCGAACTATTCATATAAGTGACTGACATTGGCAGGGATGCCAAAAATATAGTCGCTATTTGCATAGCGGACAGAGACACCGGGTGTCAAGAGCCCAGCACTAACTTGGCGGACAAATTGGTGGATTTATTGAGTGCCAATAATTGTTAGGGCTTGATCCATCATCCGTTCTGACACAAAACATCGCTTCGCTATCGTACACTTAACACCGGAACCATGAAATAAGCAGAGTGTAGTCGAATGTAGTAAACATTCACTCAGCAGATGTTTGTGGCACTGCTAAAAGCAAGGACAACGAATTTATTCATGCAATAACTCAAATGCAAATCAGTGACTGATTGCCATGCAATTAGAGCACGAGTTGCTATCTGTGAGAGGGCATTCGCAACACTCTGCTTACCACAAGGGTTGCTCGGCTTGTATAGGTGGTACAAGAGTTAGTGGGGAATTGAGTCATAAGCGCTTTATTTGCCGAGCATCGTATTCAATATACGGATCCCAGCTAGGCCGCAAACATCCACGTTACACTGACGAGCGCTATGCGCCGTCAGATATTGGATAACATTGTCAAAGCACGCTCGCACGTTGCCAGTACAAGCGAAGACAGACAGGAGGCAACCATAAGGCGTCAAATAATGAAACCGAAAGACCCACTGCGACGGCAAGAAACATTTGGAGTCGCCTGCAGAATCTGGTGCAGTTGCGGACAAAGCAACTTTGTCGGAAACACTTTTAAAGACGTGAGTTGCCGAACACGAAGCAGCAATGCGATGGAATTATGTCAACTGTCAAGTTGCGGCTCATTCGATGAGACCCGGTCACACATTCAAATTTGATGAGGCCGAAATTCTCGCAAGAGGTGACAATCGAGTGAGCCGAGAATTGCTTAAGTCATGCTTCACGGATCCCCTATCCATAAACAAGGGCAACGATTTGCCCAATCCATATTCAGTGCTGAGACTTAATTTGGCCAAAACAAGTCGCCACTTGGGGAACGGACAGGACACCGTGTCTTCTTACGCCAACACCGGAAAGCCAGGTGCGCGAGCAATCGTCATGCCCAATTCTACCAAGTGTGATGCAAGTTCAGTAGGTCAGAGGCCGCATGCTAGTCAACAAACTATAAATGCGCAAGAAGGCAATTTCCGTTAATTGTCGTTTTATGTTTGCAGTAATGACTGTATCCTATAAACACTGCAAACTCCTGTGCAGATGCTACCTGTGTCTGCTACTGCTTCCTGCTAATGTCTCTGATGAGGAATCCGCGACGGATCTCAAAATGTGAGGCGGCTAGAAATGCTGTCCCAGCGATGAAGTCGTCTTCCGCCCACGTTCGTATATTTTGACATCCAGTAGCAAGTGTCTGTTCTTGATCGAGTAGAACAGCTTCCATACTATGTAATTGCACCAGTGGAGCACGTCGGTCGCCGCGAATGCCGCAGCATGGGCCGTAACACAGCAGTTGGGCAATTTTTATGATACATCTTGGCGGGTTTTCAACAGCCCTTTGGTGTGGTTGTTCGAGGTTGTCTACTCTAGCTCTTTTTGTTAAAACCCTAGCTACAAGACAGAGGTAGCGGCTTGCTTTTACCTTGACACAATGCCGTCATCTGTTTTTACGGCACTTCAAAAGGCCGCCGGCCGCCGGTCACTGCCGATCCATGAATGTTCATGCTCCAGTCTCGAGAGTCTGCTTAGTTCTACCGTGGTCATTCTATTAACCATCACCTTTGGGGCCTCTGGTAGATATGAACTGGTTAGAGAAACCATGGAAATGACATAGTTTCATGTGGAACTAATGCACCGCGATTGAAGAACCAGAATTCTACTTGTAACACCACCTGGAAACGATCGCACTTTGATCAATCAATACTTGTTTTTCGAGTAACTGGCAGAATACATAGAAAACCTTATTTGAACGGTCCAATGCTGTAAGAAAGGCGATACAACCGTGCGTAAAAGTTAATTCAAACAAAACGATTTACTGTACTCATGTTAGTAGTATGCTTATACTTATAAAGACTCATTAAAAGTGGTTTCTGAGTTCTGAGGCAGAATTCGACCGGCAACACTAAATAGAAGAAACCGCACTTAGGAAATAACCAGAAGTCTCTCGAGAAACAGGTCAAAATACTGTCATTCAACATTGAGACTGTGTAATTTTGTGGTTACTGACTTTGTAAATATAGATAGCGTAGCCTATGAAGAATGCTGCACCGTTGTGTAATCTAAGTTTCTGTCATGGGCAGCTGAGGGCAATAATTGGATCATACAGGACGATAACAACCAATTTTGTCATTCCGTTAAAGTAGATTGTTTCAAATTTGCACGTAATACGTGCTATATTCTATGACCGAGTTATGTTGCACATAGAAAGTATAGGAGATCAAAACGACGGAAAAATGTAGGTAATTTGTAATTTACGGGAAATCCAAAATCAACGCTTGTGTTTGAAAAGATCACGAACAGTCGCACTAAACCTTCTGTCAAACAATATTATTTAAGAACGACAATTAAGGGTACAAACACGTGAGAACGTAGGGGTTGTATTAAAGCGTTTCTTTAGGCTGAGTTCATGATTAGTCTTTCTCGGTTTTTTTTTCACGATAGAAGGGAAAAGTCTTGCCCACTCAATCAGCATTAATGGATCTGTTTTTAAAGTTTGATTTGACTAAACTGCTTTTGTAAATATCTGTGATATTATGATGTGTCATTTCGTCATAACTGTTTACATTTCAGACATGTTGTATAAAAGTTGAATCTTTAAACATCACTCACCACCATCATGCCAACCAACTCTTATGAGTGTCTTTCCCAACTTGTGGATACATTCAAACAGACAGACGAATGTCTGCATACCAAGGGTACACATTTTGCCCTCACAATACTGAAAATGGAGTTGGATTTGCATAAGCGGTATGTGTATTCGAATCCTTGCACGTTTTTCTCTACCCTTCTGGAGAATCCTGATGGATATTTTTGTGCTTTCTGAATCATTATGTACAAGAATCATCAATATTTTTTCTTTATTGTAAGGGCTTATTATCCTATTTGATGTTATGCACTCGCGAACGCACTGGGCGCTTGCGTAGCTTCTTCTTCAGTGTTGACAGGCAAATCTGCCGTCGAACTCCTACGAGTCACAATCACCTATTTCATTTTAGAAGAGTATTTGGCGAGCATACGTAGCTTTCGATAAATTCTTTTTGGGCCATTACATTTATATAGGAAGGGGGTAAAGATAACATGCGGGCAATTGTGTTGATAATGACAGGCAAACGAGTCATTGGAATAGGGGAGGGGGAGGGTTGGTGTTGTTAGTATTCGACTGATTACGAGAGTTTGTTGAATCCGGACAGGGCGGGGGTGGAAGGGTGAGAAAGCGCGGAAAGATGTAGGCAGCTATATAACCGTCAGACATGATTTTACTGTAACCACATATTCCAGTCTTGCTTCCTTGGCATTTTTTAAAATAATCCAAACAAAAAGGACGCCTGGGGAGTACCAGAATCTCCAGTCTGCTCTGGTATTGCCACTGAAAACCACACCTTTTGACAACGAGCACATATCGTGGCGAGTTGCACTGAAGTGAAAAACCAAGAACCCGGGTCCCTGCGCACCACCCTTTTCTACTGATGACCACTGTGCATTTTTGACCAAAATTACACCACTGCATCCATCCAGACTGATTAGTTGTCAGCTAGATTATAGTCCTGCAGAGAAATGGTTGGCTGATGAACCGTAAACAATCCCTGAGGTGATTTGATACGATAACTCGATAGACTGCACAATAACGGGATGACAAATGATGGGAAGGGAATATGCGAGTTCCAGGGGGCAGTTTCGAAGAAGAGTTTTATTTTCCGGACCTTTCGGATTTTGTCGAGAATCCCTTCTCATAGGTACTGGTAGGCTAGTCGGAGCCATGCGCAGCTAGGAGTGAAACATGCACAGATTGCACGGTATTTATAGTTCGTAGCGGTCATCGGCGTGCGTACTGTAATTATCCGTTCCTGTTGCCACCGCTTGTGGTCTTAATTGGTGCGGTGATGGCTTGACACTTCGC